GCATTTATTTATAAGGTGAGCACATGAACAACAATGACAGTATGGCCTTTGTGTCTTTGATCCATCTTCAGAGTAATCCACTGATGTTGCTGTGGTAGAAAAACTACTCCCTTTACTTCTGATCCTTGACTGTAGCTTGAAGCTGCTGGAAGACCTCAGGCTAGCTGTATGTTGTGGTGCATACACTTCAATGTCACCAAAAATTGGATCAGACAGGATCCTCACGTTTCTCCAGAAATACAACCAGATCAATAAAATGAGCTCTGTGGTCATATGATTCCAAAATATCATGAGCAACAGCTCTCCATCTCTCTCTGAGTTTGTATGGGAGCTTGGAAAGGACCATTTTCATGTTACTTGGCATATCCAACACATTGCAACATCCTCGTAGAAACAAAGCATAAGCTTGTAGAGCTTTAACATCCTCTGATTTTATTGATGGCCAGTTCAGAGCTTTGTTTATATAAGCAGTTGCTATTTTGTATTCATTTCCAAAATGGTCCTGCAGAAGACCTTTTGCTACAATGTAGCCACGTTCAGGATCCATATGTTGGCAGCTGCGGACCAGTTCCTTAGGCTGTCCTGCAGTGAATTGCTCCAAATAATACAGACAGTCAGCTTTACTGGCTTTGTTTTCCACTCCATGTTCAAATGCTTTAATGAAAGCTTTATATTGAAATGGATCTCCTTCAAACACTGGAATGTCTCGTGGTGGTAAAGACAGTAGACGCTGTTGATGCACAAGTGCAGCAGTTATTTCATTTTGCTTATGCATAATAGTGACAACATCTCCATTTTGAACTTGATCAGTTTGATGACTTATTCTTTGTCTGGTTTGATTTTCACAAGAAGTTTTTACATCATGTTGTAAAACCTATGATTTTTTAAAGTCCATTTGATCATGTGCATCAAAATGCTGCTTGCTCACAGAACTTTTCATTTCAGTCCGTTTTGGTCGCACATCCATTGTTTCCAGTTTGGTTGGTGTTGGTACTGCATTTCTTTGCTGCATCACTTTGCATGCTGCAGGATAATAATCCTTTGCCATGGCATTAAGAGTTTTATCTGATGTGAGTTTCATTTTTTGCCTTTCAAAATAAGAGTTCATTCCGTCAGTTGGTGCACGGGAAAGACACTGTTCATCAGAAGCCTGCAGAACTGCCAACTTTGCAGTAGACGCAGCTAGCTCAGTTTCTAGCTCAAGCTGTTCCTTTTTCCTTTTTATCAGTTGCTCCTGTTCCTCCAGTGCATGACGTTCCTTCAAAACAGCCATTCTTGCAACCAGTGCAGCGCGTTCTGCTGCAGCTTTTATTTGTGCAGAGGAAGTTGTACTTGACCGATTGCTGGTAACACTTTTACTATAATGTTTACACACATTAGAAACACTATCATTAGGCCTAATATCATCGTTATCCAACCCATCATGATTAATATCAGCACCAATATTTAAATGACCAACACTTTCATTTTTAAGTTCATCATCTTCTTTTGATTTAACCCACCTTTTCACCTTTTCAGCAAATTCATCAGTGAACAACATTTTTGCTTTAAACCATATTTCATGTTTTTCTTTCTCCTCAACCGGCAATAAATTCATTAATGAATCATGTATGCATCTTATTTCAACACACAAGTCAATGTAACCATCAAGAAACGTTCGAACTTCTGATACCAAACCATTTTGCATCAACTCTTGTATCTTTTCCTTTAAATTGCTAGCTTTATTTAGATTAGCCTTTCTATCAGCTTGCAACCGATCTAACCGATTGGCAATTGCTTTAGCAGAAAGTTTAACCACTCGTTTGCCCATTTGTGTGTCACAACTGCTGGTCAGAAAGTCCTGTTTGTCAGCAGTAGATGGCGCAATAGCACCTGCTGGTAAATCCACGTCCGCTATGCAATCCTCCATAATAAAAGTCCGTCAGTCAATAGATTGCAACCAGTTAATTGATACAAAGTTCCTCCACTTCAGCAACCAATGCATTGGATTTATGCCATTATGTGTGCACACGTTTAGATTTAGATTCAGATGGCCATCTTACTAATTGTAGCGCTACACATACCTATTTGATGCGTGCATTTCAAATCCAGCAACGAGGAAATCCCAGGTGTCCTCCTGAACGCCGATCCTGTCCGACGTCACCCCAGGCTGCAGATGAGCTGATGCCAATCAGCTGACGCTCCGTTCCCAACACACAGGCTCCATCTGCGTCCCTCGTCGTAGACAAACGCCATCCAAAGTTCCTTCTCCACGATCAGTTCTTTTCATAAACAGTTTTTGACTTTTGTATAGAGGCTAAGCCAAAGCTTTAAGCCCCTGAGGTGGTACACCAGGGTAAAGTTGACACGCCGATTACTTAGCCGCTTAATTGAAATGAGAGCCGTCCTTGATGTTAGTGCAGGTAATCCATTTATTTCCATGACTCGGCAATGTTCACAATAACACCGCATACATTGTTTCTGCGATCCACATAGCTTTCATTTCTGTATCGGTAGTATTGCTTTGCGTTGCGTTGCGGTCAAAAACTGTTTCCCCCTTTCGGGTGGAACACACCTGTCCTCATCAACACCGGATCATACTTATATAGACAGCTGACAGATCATGTGACCCAAACCATTTGGAATACAGAAATTCATAATCTGCTCCTACAATCTGGTTTAATCATATAAGGAGTTTCATTTTGTAGAAGAGTCAAAATGAAGCTGAACCTTTGTCAGGTCAATCTGCATCAAAAATCCACACCTTCCAGCTGAGGTGAAATTTGTAACACCAGCATGTGTTCTGGTGAGGTTTGGTGATCAGATGAGACAAACTGACATAATGGCTTTAAGAATAATGTAAGGATTCGAAATTATGCTTTTAAAGCTTTGAACACTGCGCCAACTGTCAATCAAGGCAGTGGCAGCTTCAAATAATTAAAAAACAACAAATTAAGTTTTTTCTACAGTTCTTAAATTTAATTTCAATTGAACATCTAAATGGTGAAAATGAGAGAACATCTGTGAGAGACACTCCGAAGAGAGGTTTGTGCCAGAAAATGTTATTAATAAGAAGAAGCTTGTGTGTGGAAACTCACATCTTACGAAACAGATATTTTAACGCATATTTTAAGCATGATTCCAGAATAAAAACAACAACTTCTGCAGCAGCTGCATTTAGAAAGACGTAAAGCTCAGGATAAAATGACATCAATTCCCACGAGGATAACTTCTGATGCAGCTTTGTTTGGCTTTCATGCATTTTAAAATGATCTTCCATGTTAGAAATACCAGAGGTGTCAAGTAACGAAGTACAAATACTTTGTTACTGTACTTAAGTACACTTTTTAGGACTCCATTACTTATTTTTCTTACTGCTTCTGACTTCTACTAATTACATTTTCACACAAGTATCTGTACTTTCTATTCCTTAAATTTTTAAAACAGACGTTACTCGTTACGCTTGGCTTCGGTTTAATGTTTATAAATATTTATTTCACGTCATGTGCGCCATCCAATGAATATCATTGCTGCCATCCACATCTAGTAAAAACTAGTGTGATTGGATGAGTCATATAACGCAAACACTCATTGGTTAGCTAAAGGAAATCATCCGAAGCAAGCTGGTGTTCTTCAAACTGCAAACGTGAATTGTCTATGCCATGCTACAATGTTGGATTCAGAAAAAGATGTTGAAATGTCTGAAAGGTTGGACACATGCAAGAGCGTATCGGGAGATGGAGACCAACAAGACCTCCCTCATCCTTGACCCTATCTCAAAGAATATTTTAAAATAGTCGTAAAATTGAGCTTTCAATTCATATAGTGGGATCTGGCTGTTTTCTTTTAAAGGATACTTTATACTTTTATACTTCACTTAAAAAGAAAAAGCAACCTTTTTTGGCATTTACTTTATCATATTTAGTTACTTTAACACAATTGTTTCATGTTAGCAGGGTAGGACATAAAACAATTGTGTTAAAGTAACTAAATGTGTTTAAGTAAATGCCAAAAGAGGTTGCATTATTTTTTTAATGAGCACATACTTTTTCACTTTTACTTGAGTAAAGAGGCCAAAATGATACTTCAACTTTTCCCAGAGTGTTTTAAAACTGCAGCATCTATACTTCTACTTAAGTAACAAATGTGTGTAGTTAAAAAAATAGGTAAAATAGCCCTTTAATGGAGGGACGAATCGGAAGCCAACTTCACAGTCTTCTGGTGAACAGTGTGTTTCTGCAAAGCGCAAAAGGACTCATTTTCAAACAGGTCGACCTTAGTTTAAATAGGCTTCATCTAACGAAAATTCTTATAATGATTGCATTTTTTTACGTAGGTAAATCCGAGGCTTGAAAAAAAATCTGGATTAATTGAACAAACGGTTCTGAATGGCTCTGGGCGTGTCCTACACAGATGTGTGTCCAGTGTTGTCATTTCACCAACTTCACGCACTGATTTTCCAAAAATAGATGGAAGGGCATTTTATTTCCCCCCCCCTCCACTATAACCTTTGTCACAGGTTTTCTCTACCTGCTTAAAACCTGTGATTTCTGTCCCTTTCTGCGTCACATAGAGATACATTCAATAAAATAAAAATAAACCCATTTCTACCACAGTTATATGTTTTTCTTCCACAAACAGGTCTGTTTTATCACGACTAGAGAATAAATTAATTGGTAATTATGATTAAACTTCTCCTTTAATGACATTGACCGAGCTTGAATCGATGAAAAACATATTTTACCCTTTAAATAATTTTTTTTTATATATTAACAAAACGGAAAACAACAATTCTGCAAAGGCTGAATAAGCTTGGCACGCGCGCAATTAGCGGAGGGATATCAAAGAAAATTAATTAAAAAACACCAAAGCTTTAAACATTGATGTGTTTTCATCTAGAAGATACTTAAAACATGACGTCAGATTAAATTGACTATAAAAATATACAGGAAACAGTCCATCTAAGGCTGAATATTACCTATATTTGAAGCTTTTAGTCCAATATATATGTGAATACTTACCACCATTACGGTGCCCAGCAGGTGGGGACCCTGAAGGTAGATCCCATTTCCAAAGAATAATCCCAGAAATTGAAGGATTAGTGACAGATTTAGAGATTTTTCTCCTCTTCTTTTGTCAAATCTCGTTAGAAGAGCTGTTAATCATATAATAAGCGGCTCTTTGATGTTTTTATCCCTCCTCCTTTTTTTTATCCGCCCTTGCCTGCCGTGGAGAAATCATTCCGCGCTTCCGGTTGGTTGGGCGCCGCGCTGAGAGTCGTTCAGTCAGGGACCGTCACATGATGGCCCCCGAACGTGCAGCACTTCTAGAACAATTCAGAATCCTGCTTGGAGATGTGATTAACCTGTTGGTCATCACCAAATGCCAGAAAACATACATTTGATTAATATTTTTACATTTTAAATTAATTTTTTTCAATAAAATATGCCAGAAAAAAATTATGTTAATATTATTAGGTTATTTTAATAAATATATACTATAATTTATCCCCTTGTTCTATCTTAAAGGGAATAAACAGAAACCTCAACATGTGAATATAACTTGCTGTTATACTTATAATTTTTTTTTAATCACCATAATTTACAGAATATAACGAAAAACGTGTTATTTTCTCTGACACGTGCATCTACACGTGGAGACCACCCTGGGGTCCACAGACTTCATCCTAAATGATGGAAGCGCTTATTATTCCAGAGAAACAGCACCATCTACCGGACCAATTGGGGAGTTACACACCCAACGTTATATAAGGAATGTTGGAAGTTGATGTAGCTGATAGGAAAATTGACCTCAGTTAACAAATCACTGAAATTTCGTGCATTATCTAAAACTTATAATTAGTTTGAATCTTTTTATGTATAATTTTCTTTATTTTAGGAGCTCTGCACAGCCTGTAACACAGCAGTTTTTGTGCAAACACAAAGAAATCAGCACTCAAATTAGAGAAGCACTTGTTACCTTTGGCTGGAAATGAAATAAAGCATTATTTTTATGCCAATAATATAATATTACAAAATAAAACAGTTTCAAATCACACAATCCCAATGATCTGGGGGGAAAAAAAACTCAATATACTGTAAAGTTAATTATCTTAAAAACAAAATACTACATTATACAACGATTACAAGTATGTTGGAAAAAAAAGTTCTTCTTACAGAAATGGTTAATGGGTCAAAAGCAAATGTAGCAATCTTTAAAAACACAGGGTTCTTTTTATGGGGATGGAACATAAAGGCCAAGATAAGAAAAACACCATCAATAACATATAAGCTGCTCTTTCCAAACAATCAGAAGTCCCTTAGGGCCTGTTCACCTGCACAATGGAATAAACAAAATGTGTTAATTTCACCAATAAAAAAGAAGAAAATACATCAGCAGTGACCTTAAAAAAACAGTCTTCTATTGTGAATTGAGAAGGATTTTAAAAGTTAAAAAATATATATTTACACACATCAGAAGTGCATATAATAGTATTAAAAAATGCCGAGGCAGCAAAGCATCATGAATTACACTGGAGAAGCACTTTTTTCATATCTATCAACCGAAGAAGAAGCATATTGCCACTTACAAACTATCTGATCCATCTAACAAACCCGGCAACAGAACACAGAAGCAGTGTGCTAAATAATAAATGCCCCATTGCTGTGAGATAAAAGGTTTAGTGTAAATTAGCCCCTGAGTGTCTCAATAACCATGTATTCACTAATTGCTTAAATTTTTAAAGCAAGAGTCCCTGAGATTTCTTTATTCGGAGTGGACAGCTTTTCTTTAGGAGGGAAAGACATCAGCAATGAAATCTGGCCTCAAGTAATCTAGGAAGGGTTGTGCAACAACTTTCAAATATTTTAAAGAGATTTAGTTAAAGAAAGCAAGAAAAGGTTTAGAAAATAAGAGCTCCATCTTATTTTCTACAGCAGAGGTCATGGATTAGCGGACCGGGGTCTGGATCCAGACCCAACCTGATTTTAAAAAATTATAAATTACTGCATGTTAGACTGCTATCTCCAGTTAATATTGTAAAGCCCTTCCGGAGCGCCCGGGACTCGGCCACATGTGATCCAAATTAACCAATAAGCTGTCAGTCTGGGTTGCTGCTGCTGCTACTTTTAGTCACAGCAGACAAACCTGTGGCAAGCCGGGCGATGGGAAAGAGAGAGCAGAGAAAGTGTGGACTGCTGGAAGAACCGTGGTGAACTGATGACAAAAAAAGTAAAAGAAAAACACTTTAGATTTTAAAATGGAAAATTTTCTTTTTTTTTAATTTAAAAAGTCAATTTGTAACACCCTCAGCAGGATGCTGGAGTGTGCATGGGAGTTTGCCCAACCACTCTGCATGTGTTTTGTGGATCTAGAGAAGGCATTCGACCGTGTCCCTCGGGGGGTCCTGTGGGGGGTACTCCAGGAATATGGAGTACCGGGCCCTTTAATAGGGGCTGTTAGGTCTCTGTATGACCGGTGTCAGAGTTTGGTCCGCATTGCCGGCAGTAAGTCGGACTCGTTTCCGGTGAGGGTTGGACTCCGCCAAGGCTGCCCTTTGTCACCGATTCTGTTCATAACTTTTATCGACAGAATTTCTAGGTGCAGCCAAGGTGTTGAGAGGATCTGTCTTGGTGTCCTTAGGATTGCATCTCTGTTCTTCACAGATGATGTGGTTCTGTTGGCTTCATCAGGCCGTGATCTACAGCTCTCACTCCTGCGGTTTGCAGCCGAGTGTGAAGTGGCCGGGATGATGATCATCCCTCCAAATCTGAGACCATGGTCTTAAGCCAGAAAAGGGTAGAGTGCCTTCTCCGGGTTGGGGAGGATGTACTGCCCCTAGTGGAGGAGTTTAAGTAACTTTGGGTCTTGTTCACAAATGAGGGGAAGAAGGAGCACTGAAATGCACTGAAATGAGTTTTCTCCATAGTGTGTCTAGGCTCTCCCTTAGTGATAGGGTGAGGAGCTCAGTCATCCGGGGGGGGACTCAGAGTAGAGCCGCTGCTCCTCCACATCGAGAGGTTCTGGTTAGGATGCCTCCTGGACGCCTCCCTGGTGAGGTGTTCCAGGCACGTCCCACCGGGAGGAGGCCCCGGGGGGAGACCCAGGACACGCTGGAGGGACTATGTTTCTCAGCTGGCCTGGAAGCGCCTTGGGATTCCCCCGGAAGAGCTGGTCCAATTGGCTGAGGAGAGGGATGTCTGGGCCTCTCTACTGAAGTTGCTACCCCCGCGCCCCGACCCTAGATAAGCAGAAGAAGATGGATGGATGGAATTTATAACATGGATGAATAAAAACCTTATTTTATTTCAGTGTTAAATTGTTTTTGACGTAACAGATTATACCTTATACCTTAAATTATACCTTTACTGGTTGATGATTACTTTATTCTGACCTAATTTTTAATTGGTTAACCCTGTTTTACAGGGTTAATTACGATAGAATAAGTAACCACATTTATGTCATTTTTGTTCTTTGCCAGAATAAAACCAATGACCAGCATGATGCTGCCTCCACCATGCAGTGCTATAGGGACGATGTGTTGCAGGGGATGAGCAGTGTTTCAATTAAGCCCTACATAATGTATTGCACATTGACCAAAAAGTCCAGTTTGTTCCCTAACGTGACTTATGGAAAACAATAAATTTGATTTTGTTACAGGGAGCAAGCTATGCTTTTTCCAAACGGCAGTTTGGCTTAGGTTTGCAAAGTTAGGCTCCATAAAGGAATTTTACAGCTGGAATGTCATTACCAGCATTAAATGTTGTTGTGCCTATTATAAGATATTCAAATGTATGATTTCAATAGAAACATCAACTCTTAAAAACAGGAAGGAGTCATTCTCAGGGCGGACACACCCTTGTGCTCAGTGAACCATGTCCTTCTCACATGGGTGAAAGGAGTTTCACTTCAACCCGAGAACATATTTGACACCTCATATAAACACCACCGTTACAATCAGGCTTTATTCATCCAGCTGTTTTTTTTCTGCAGCTGCAGGGTTTTATCAAAGAAAAAAATACAAAATGTTCATCTCAATTTTACTCCTGCATTTTTTATATACATTATGGATAAAGTCATTGGAAATGATGTGAGAAAAGCAATAATTGTTAACCTGAAAATGGTGGAAGGGCAAAGGAGAACATTTAATTTAGTCTTCTTTCAGTAAAGTCAGAGCAGATTCTTAGAAAATAAATCACAAAAAGTCCAGGTTTTATCTTAAGATTAATTAGAAACAGAAAAAGACGGAAAATGTAAGTATATTTGGAAAGGCTGCCAAAAAAATAAATAAAATAAAAAAGAGATTTAAACTCAGAAAGTTCTGGAACAAAGAATAAAATAGTAGATAATTTGGCATAATGCAAAATATATTTAAAACTGAAAAACCTTTGTTAGATGTGTTACATGTTTCATATCTATATAAAAAGTGTAAACATTTTCTCTCTACATTGAAAAGCGCATCTTATTCCACAATTAAAAGACAAATAACTTTATTTTATGTGTCAGAAATATTTATTTATAAATTGATTTTGGAATTCCTATACAGATCCTCCAGTTCTAAGCAAATAATCAAAGAAAAATAACATGAACAGAACAAAACCTAGTGAGAGGGACATTCAGAAGGCAGCTGAGAGTGAATGTTCAGAGTGTTATTATTTAATCATTGAGTGGGTGGGTGGAAGAGAAAGGAGAGTTCATAGAAGGACTGATAACTGCTAAGAAGCGTCACGCTGAGTCATTGAAGCTGTTATGACTTGGCTTTCTGCTCTGGTACCACCAGCTTCTATACTGTAAAGGAAAACAGACTTTATCAGTAGTTTAATTTGCCCAAAAGATCCATTAAAAATAGCATTTAAGCACAAACATCCTGATTCTTATGCACAGTGGTGGAGGCTGATGATTTGGACTCCTTTGCATCACACTGCTGATTTTTTTTAAATACAAATGCACAAAGTAATGGTATAATTCCTTAAATGAACTACATACTTCCTGTTCTGTTTGCCATTTAGAAATACTCAGATAGATTAGCATAGGGCTGTAAAAAAAAAGTATTACATTACGTTATGTTACCCTAAGTGGATTACCTTCTTCCGCTGCTCTTTGTGACTTTGCAGCCTGATTAATTAGCAGCAGGGTAAGATATTTTGAAGCTGTGCTCTAACTCTGACTATAAGTGGCTTAAACCTTTGGAAGAGGCCTCCGTTTTACTCCATTATATGTTGCCATGCTCTACATTATCTGCTGCTTTATAAGCAGGGACATATGAGATGCCTAAATTGGAGTAAAACCAGAAATGCTGGGGAGTTCAATTAATAATTAATTGAACTTTATCAATCTCACATTGCAGAAATTTACCTTTGCATTTAACCAATCCCCTTTGCGGAGCAGCGGGCTGCCATTGTGGGGCGCCAGGGCTGCAGAATGTCTTGCTCAGATCCAGAGTGGCAGTCTGTGAGAGTGGGTTTTTGACTCACAACCTCAGAATTCAAAGCTCTATCATGCAAATGAAAGGTGAGGCTATCTTAGAATGCATATAATGCAGTGAAGGAAGGCAAGCCAGCTGTACATGAGGAAGTATTCACACCTGTTGAGTGTTTTTTATGACGTATCTGTTAGGAATCCAGTTTGTGTGGGTTGTGCTTTTGTTTGTTTTCCCTCCACCACCAGGTGGCGCCTGATTCTCGTTATCCTCCACACACACCTGCGGATGGTTGCCTCATTACCGGAGGACTCTTAAGCTGCTGACTGCCACTACCTCGACGCCAGAGTGTTTGCCAGTTTTGGGTACTCTAGCCAATTAAACTGAGTTTTGTCACCTGAGTCTTAATCTTGTTGTTTTTTTGTCTTTGCCTCTCGGCAGGAATTTATCCTGCAAAATGGATGTTTTGGACCTTCTCCCCCCTGGAAGGATTCTCTGAGCATTAAGCTGAGCTGAGGATTCAAACTGGTGGTTTGGATCTACTTTTCCCCAAAGGATTGTTTGGGCTTCTCTCTGAGCAGGGGATTCATCTCCACAAGAAACCGTTCAAGTACCGCAGGAAATCTAAGTGGCAGTCAGCTCCTCCGTTCCTCAAGGAAACGCCTCAACCTGGTTAAACCCTGTCCGCCCTCCAACGAACAAATCAATTACTGGAAAAACCCACACACCGACTGGATTCAACGAGACTCCTTTTTCTGGAAACGTGAGTCCTGTTGCCTTTATTCCCTTCTTCAAATCAAAGACACAAATTTCCCACTGAGCCTGAACTAACCACAGAATCTTCCCCTTCACTTTTCAGTCCTGGTTCGACAGTGTTCAGAACAGCACTGGACTCCTCTCTACCTACTCACAATAAAACCTGTTATACTTTTCCCTGGTCTCTCTGGTTTACTGCCTGTGGGTCAGATCTTTAAATAAAATCATGAGAGTATCAGTCGCACTTCACTTGCACAGAAACAGAAAAACAGAAATTTCTGTATTATTGTCTAGAGCATCACCTACAAGACGGTTATACAGGATGATACTACTAGGAATGATACTACTAGGAATAAACAAAGGTTAAATAATGTAGCCTCCTGTGTTTCTCTGATCATTCTCTTCAAGAAACAACACATTCAGCCATGATTCATGGCAACAGACTGGCTGCTGATTGAACAGGCTCTTTGATTATATCTTAGTCATCAAAGGAAGCTCATTATACAAGACAGTCACACAGCGATCTGTTTACTGCAGCCAGCCGCCTGTAGAAGCCCATTGAGTCTGCTGTGACAGACCTCGCCATGAGATTACAAGATTACAGAAGGTGTGGGCATGTGTTCGCCATGCTTGATTTGATTAAAACTTCTACTCGGATACTCGTATGTTTTCAGATGAAGACTCTTTTTCCGCTCTATCTGAATTATCAATATTGGTTCATCACTATCACCCTGCAGCCTCCCCTTTCTGCACTTTCACAACATGGTGATGCTATGAAAAATCATGCTTAAATTTACACTTTTAGAATAATTAGCAACTTTAGGTTGTAGGATTGCATTTGTTCCTTAAGTACAGTTATAGATAGGTAATCTGCACAAATTCACACTGATCCTACAGAGAGGATCAGCTCCTTTATATGAATGAGAGGCCTGTAGAATTCCACTGTTGTATTTGAAGAGTGCTCCCAAGATGAGGATTGGTTCATTGGGTCACCAGGTGCAGATGCCCCTCAGTATCCACTAGGCAGCCATGCAGCAAACACACACACCCACTCATGCAAAGCGTCGTCATGTGATTGGGCAGGGCGTTCTAGGTGTGGCAGCCCTGACTGCTCAGCAGGGATTAGAAGGGAACAGAAATTTCTGTCATCTCTCTGGATCGTCTGTGTTTACAACTTTACAGAGCAGAGCAGAAAGGCTGGAGGAGAATGAGTCCAATCAGTGGATACAGGACGGTGTAGCAGCTTCTAGGTTGGTTTATTAGAAGAGTTTCTAAATGTCACAGCATAGAGAGAGACGCAGATTCCTACAGGCACTAATCCTACTGCTTTAAGGAACAGGGTAAGCTTATTTAGGAGCTAGCTTTACAGCCTGACCAATATGGCTGAATACAGGGAAGGTAGCTGTGTCTTCTATAAATTAAGGGTTTTAGGTTAAAAAAAATATCTTCTTATATTGATTAATTGATTAAAAGCTGCACTTTTATGTTTATATCTATTTAAGGTCAGATGTTAATTGTTAATCTTCTATGCACATTTGTACAGGAGCTTCCAGAACTAGCTTTATCCCCAGTCATTTTTAGTATTTAGATGATTTATACTTCAATGGAGTTTCTTGAGGTGCTTCCACCATTAAAACCTTTGGTTTTTATGCAGAATTAGCAGTATGCCTCCCTCTGATCACATCATCACAAATGTGAAACATGGTGTTGGTAGTATCATGCTGTGGGAAAATGTTTCTTCACTAGGCAGACGTGCTTTTGAAGGTTTGCTACTAGTTGTTATGAGACAATATGGTATTAAAAACTTTTTTGTATCCCTCTAATATCTTCATATATGTTTGGTACAAGAAGTTAGCAGATTATTTCAGTTTTATAAGTTTATAATAGAGCTTGGACCAAAGGGGATTTTAACAGAATCATACGCCTACTCCTGTTATCTAACTTTTTAGAGATTTAATCATGGATATAGAGGCTGGAATTGCACGTCCAATGTGCTGTAAATAAATGTCGACATGTTTTATAAAATTATTTACAACATTTCTAGCAATAATATTGACTTTAGTGTAAAGAAAAGCCCAGGAAGAATATCCTTTATCTTGCTCAGTAAGAAGCAGCCAGTCAGACTTTAGCATTTCTATGGAAGCGGCCCTAGTCCCTCCTCCTTGACTTTGAAGATTTTTTTGATAGTTTAAAATAATCAATAGTGTACTTCAGTGCAGGAACATTAAATAATTTATTAAATCATGAAATGATTATATTCACTTCTTTAAATAAAATGAATATATTTAACTAAGGCCTGTATAAGGAATTATATATTTATTAAAGAAATTAATATTAAATGCATTTATTTCCAGTATTAATAAATTAAATACATAAAAATTATAAATAAAATAATCATTGATAAGTTATCTATTTATTGTATTGCGGCACTTCTAATCCTCCATATATATATATATATATATATATATATATATATATATATATATATATATATATATATATTCAATATAAAACACTCACGTATTTTGTATTTCTTGTGTGCGTTTGGAAAGGGGGGGGGGCAAGTTCCTGGGGGCCCCATAAAACTCCTTTTAAATGTATAGTTAATACAATTATTCCTTATTTGTGCACATTAATTATGTTTTTGATAAAAATCCTTTCCTTAAAATCAAATCAGAACCCTTATAATATTAGGTGTGTCTCAGCCCCTCCCTTCTGTGTCCACCATATTGGATCAGTCCATTTGCTGCACATGTTCAGAAATGTCCAAACAGACGTCGGGTATTAATGGCTGAACACCATTTAACCATCTTGAAAAGATTGAGGTTTTAAGGTTTGGAAAGATCGCTAGATGTGCTCCAGCGCTACCATTGATGTTTTCTACGGTAAACACAGAGCATGCTGGTCTGTGATGTCATTGCGTTCTCTACTGCGCATGCGGGACACTTAAGCTGAATGACTGCAGTTTACACAGAATATCACATACAAGTCGCATATATTTGAAAATGTAAACGGCAATGCAAAAACATCAGATTTCACACAAAAATTGGAATTGAGCATCAAGGCCTGAGTGTGAACGTAGCCTTTTGAGACAGCATGAGCACATTGCAAATATGAAAAGAAAATATAGAAAGGGGAACGACAGGAAAAGGAACAAGAAGAGAGAGAGACAACCTAGAACAAATAGTGTATGTCTATTCTATTAAAATTTCAGTATCTGTGTGTTGTCTTCTCAGTTCAGACGGCCCCCTGCCTGTATTTGCCCAAGACCCCAAATTTCCTAAATACACCGCTGCCCCAAACCTGTAAGAACCGCCACTGTTACAGTTTGCATGATAAATTAAATGTAAACAAAATGAGTTTTAATCATTTTTGCCAACAGGTGATGGTGTAGTTTATGTAAATCACCAAACCAGCTGTAGGTAGAGATAAGTATTGCTGACTGGGTGTAGCGCGTGAACTGTCGCGCATTTAGGAGCAGCCGCGCGCTGAAGAGCAGCTGCAGCTGTTTCGCTGGCACGCGCCACTGTCCTCTTGTTAAAAGTCTAGAGAAACTGGCTGTTGTTCAGTGAACTGTTCCACACAGCTGGGCTCAGATAGCCGCTAAGGGAGCAGGAAGGACTGGTAAACTGCTCCTCCATTCCCTGGAAACACCAGTTAGCAGTTAGTGATCTCCAGGCTTCAGGTGAGTCTACTTTGGCTTGATGAACTTTACAGAAACTTGGCAAAGTTTTTGTTTGTTTGTTTGTTTTTCAGCTTTTCACTTCATTTTTACCTGGACTTAGATCGGGTAATTGAAAACGTTATTTAAAGAAACAAGTCAGTTAAGTCAAAAACAAAAAAAATCGTAATCAAATCTTGTGAATTTATTTAAATTTTGATATTGAAGAGATGTATACAGGTGCTGGTCATAAAATTAGAATATCATGAAAAAGTAGATTGATTTCAGTAATTCCATTTAAAAAGTGAAACTTGTATATTATATTCATACATTACATACAAACTCATATATTTCAGATGTTTATTTTGTTTAATTTTGATTATTACAAATGACAACAAATGAAAATCTCAAATTCATCATATCAGAAAATTAGAATATTGTGAAAAGGTTCAAAATTGATGGCCCCTGGTGCCACACTCTAATCAGCTAATTAACTCAAACCACCTGCAAAAGCCTTTAAATGGTCTTTCAGTCTAGTTCTATAGGCTACACAATCATGGGGAAGACTGCTGACATGAAAGTTGTCCAAAAGACGACCATCGACACCTTGCACAAGGAGGGCAAGACACAAAAGGTCATCGCTAAAGAGGCTGGCTGTTCACAGAGCTCAGTGTCCAAGCACATTAATAGAGAGGCGAAGGGAAGGAAAAGATGTGGTCGAAAAAAGTGTACAAGCAAGAGAGATAACCGCACCCTGGAGAGGATTGTGAAACAAAACCCATTCAAAAATGTGGGGGAGATTCACAAAGAGTGGACTGCAGCTGGAGTGAGTGCTTCAAGAACCACCACACACAGACGTATGAAAGACATGGGTTTCTGCTGTCGCATTCCTTGTGTCAAGCCACTCTTGAACCACAGACAGCGTCAGAAGCGTCTTGCCTGGGCTAAAGAGAAACAGGACTGGACTGCTGGTGAGTGGTCCAAAGTCATGTTCTCTGATGAAAGTAAATTTTGCATTTCCTTTGGAAATCAAGGTCCCAGAGTCTGGAGGAAAAGAAGAGAGGCACTTCATCCACGTTGCTTGAAGTCCAGTGTAAAGTTTCCACAGTCAGTGATGGTTTGGGGTGCCATGTCATCTGCTGGTGTTGGTCCATTGTGTTTTCTGAGGTCCAGGGTCAACGCAGCCACATACCAGGAAGTTTTAGAGCACTTCATGCTTCCTGCAGCTGACCAACTTTTTGGAGATGCAGATTTCATTTTCCAACAGGACTTGGCACCTGCACACAGTGCCAAAGCTACCAGTACCTGGTTGAAGGACCATGGTATCCCTGTTCTTAATTGGCCAGCAAACTCTCCTGACCTTAACCCCATAGAAAATCTATGGGGTATTGTGAAGAAGAAGATGCAATACACCAGACCCAACAATTCAGAAGAGCTAAAAGCCACTATTAGAGCAACCTGGGCTATCATAACACCTGAGCAGTGCCACAGACTGATCGACTCCATGCCACGCCGCATTGCTGCAGTAATACAGGCCAAAGGAGGCCCAACTAAATACTGAGTGCTGTACATGCTCATACTTTTCATGTTCATACTTTTCAGTTGGCCAACATTTCTATAAATCCTTTGTTTTTATTGGTCTTCAGTAATATTCTAATTTTCTGATATGATGAATTTGAGATTTTCATTTGTTGTCATTTGTAATCATCAAAATTAAACAAAATAAACATCTGAAATATGAGTTTGTATGTAATGTATGAATATAATATACAAGTTTCACTTTTTAAATGGAATTACTGAAATCAATCTACTTTTTCATGATATTCTAATTTTATGACCAGCACCTGTATATTCTTATTTCTTTGAGATATTCAAATCAGGTAAGATTATGATTGTTGTTCTAGAAATGCCACAGGGCCTCCCTAAATCTGTGGGGCTTTAATTGAAAAAGTATGGAAGGCTAAATGTGCCACACTTCACTGTATACATATATATATTTTTTCTAAATCAAGGTTGTAGTTTAGTGTTTTTGTTTAATCATTTAAGTAAAATTGAATGAATGCAAAATATATAGCATGGCTTCCCATTTATTAAATGTTTAAATCATTGATTTAAAGCTGTAAACTTATCCTTTAAAAAAAAAAAAAAGCGGTATTAGCCCTTCCCTCTACGTTTGAAGGTTAATGGGGATTTTACTGACAACTCCAGAGTAAGAAATATTTCTTAGTTCATTTAATTTCCCCCTTTAAAATTTCAATTTAACTTTTTAAATAATCCTGCTTATATTCTATAATCCCCATAAATCACTTTTTTTTTTCTACAATGTATATAATAAGTAATGTTTGAAACTTTACTAGTATTAGAGCTGTAAATATTTTGTCAGAGGGCTACATCCTGAAGCAGTGGGATCTTTCTGCATGGAGTTTGCATGTTCTCCCTTTGCATGCTTGGATTCTCCCCGGGTACTCCGGTGTAGGTACCAGATCTGCTCGGGTCCTGCACATGTTAGTGACCTTACGTTACATGATTGGCTGAACGTTGCCACATGATGTAAAACATGGTTGCCCAGGCAACGATAATAACATCGTGCAGCGTCACTGTGCAAAGTCAGGACCAGCTGTAGTGTTGGCGTGTCTAATGACCGATAAAGTTTTACCTGATCGATTAAAAAAAACGGAAAGAAATCTGTTTATGGTGAACGAAGTGACTGCAAGACCATGATATAAAGAGCTGAGTAGCTAACAGGTTAGCCTCTTTTAGCTCGGTCAGTTAGCCATATTACGCTACAATCCTTTTAACTTGTTGTCAACAGCAAGCGTTCATTTTCTACAAGCAGAATAACTGTTTTATTTGTCTAAAATCTCTACGAAAGTCGTTTTTGAGATGTTCCATTTGTCCCCATCTGTCCTCAGATCTTAATAAAAAAAATAATTAAAATAAGCTGTTAAATGTAGCTAACAGGTTAGCCTCTTTTAGCTCGGTCAGTTAGCCATATTACGCTACAATCCGTTTAACTTGTTGTCAACAGCATCCGTTCATTTTCTACAAGCAGAATAACTGTTTTATTTTTCTAAAATCTCTATGAAAGTTGTTTTTGAGATGTTCCATTTGTCCTTCCTGTCCTCAGATCTTAATAAAAAAAAATCAAAAATTAAAATAAGCTGTTAAATGGCAGAGCTCAATCTTAGAACGCAGTAATTTCTTTCAAGACTTAGAATGATTGTTTTCTACTTTCGGCTATTTTAGAACGTCAATTAAATGTAAAATAATAGAAAATATAGGTAACAATATGTTGAGACTCCAAAAGAGATTTTATTCTTAAACTGTTGCAATACAGTTTGTCCGAGTGGAGTTGCCATATGTTGACATCATAAGAAGGGGCGGGGCCCTGAGCAGATCTGAAAACATGAGTGTTTGTTTATTTATTTTTTTTTTTTAATAAAAGGGTGACAGGAAAGGTGATTAATTTTGTACATTATAGTAGCTGTATTTGTGTACTAAATTTCTTCCCCAAATGATGTACCAACATTAACTTGGTGGTGGAAATATCTTTGCTCCAGGAGGTTAACCTGATACTGGATGCAGTGTCCGATTCCCAGTGGCCTCCTGGTTCCTCCGACCGTCCCCTGAGATGGGTGAAGTAAGTCCGCTGGAGAGGGACCACTCCTTGCGTGTTGTGCTCCCAGCGGGGATCGAGAAAAACATTACAGTGCATGGAAGGTACACTCTACTGCTTTCACAAAGCATGGCTGCTGGAATCTGTATGTTTTTCAACATCGTCTCCTTGCAGTAAACCGGTGATGGACTTATTGGTGACGCTCTGTGCAAATCACCACCTGAATCCTTCCGATTACACCATTGAGTTCCTGTCGCCTAACAAGAACATCATCAGCTACAAGCCGAACTGTCCTATCGGTTCGTTGGGAGCTGAGAAGATTTTATTGAAGCTTAAAGGCTCTGAAGATAAAATTAAGAAGCCATACATGCCTGAGGTAAGAATGAACATAAAAGTGTTGAGGGGAAGTTGGGAGGCAAAATGTGTGATTAAATAGCCGTCTTTCTGCTCAGGCAACGGTGCGTTTACTGATCAACTACAATAAGTCCCATAAGACGGTGGTGCGGGTGAATCCCAGACTGCCGCTGGAGGCGCTGCTGCCAGCAGTGTGTGACAAGTGTGAGTTTAACATAAAGACAACCGTCCTGCTGAGGGACCCTCAGTCCAAGGAGCCGCTGGACCTGACCAAGACCTTGAATGACCACAGATTGAGGGAGGTGTTCGCCAAAGATACAGGGGCTCAGAACGCTTCGACCGAAGGAGGTATGTCAGATAACGGAGCAGCAAAGGAAAATGCAAGGAAAACGACCTTTATAACCTAAAGCTTTACTGTTTTCCATTGGGATTTGATAAGATTTGTCAAAGTGCCCTTGAAAGTTCATCTGTGTGTTATTTAATCTTTGTATGAATTTGGCCTCAGAGGTTCTTTAAATGAATGAATGGCTTCATAAAGAGACAGGAAGGTTTGTGAGGAAGCTGTTAGCTTGAAACATAATAAAAGGTTAAATCCAAACTGAGCTTTAAACATAATAATCTATTAAACATTTTCCCGTTAAACCTTTGTGTATAAATCTGTGCTGAAATGTCATGTTTTCTTGTTGCAACAGCTGGAACTCCAGAGATCATCTCACCACCTCCAACACAAGGTAACACGCGCACACAAAACGATGGACGCCATGGCTCCAGACGCAGCGCAGCCAATGCCGACATGACATCAGTTTCTGATAAGACCTGTTTGCGTTTCCCAGACTTGCAAAGGAAGGAGAACAAGCAGAAGAAAAGGGGCTTCTTCAGCTTCTTCAGAAGACGCAAAAAGATAAATGAAACGGTGTGTTTTTGCGCTCTGTAATTAATGTTTTGATTGATAAGCGTTTGTTTATTAGCTGTGGATATATTTCACTGTGTGGCAGAATGGGACGCTGAGTGCTCCTACTTCTCCCAGCCGGGGCAAACAAGTCCGAGTCCGTGGGAATTCAGAAAGCCTTTCATCCAATAACACCCTGCCTGCAGATACGGCCAAAAAAAGGCCGGCGCCGCCGCCGCCGCCTATAGTCGCATCGCAGAGTGTCCCTAACAACCTCAGCACCTGCTACGTCAAGAGAACACAGGTATGCAATATCAGCAAATGGAATCTCTTCCTTTAATATTTTTTTAATGTCATTACCCCAAATGAAATAAAAACAAAAATCCCTCTAAACCGTTTCTGCAGTCGTCTGCAGAATCTACTTTAAGGAGCACCAAGAGGAGGGCTCCTCCTCCTCCCTGTGGAGCCACCAACGACGCCCAAAGTGATGCTGGAGGTAAACGGTTTGCTTTTCTATCTAATGTCACAACTAACCTGCAACTATAAAACATTTCAAAAAGGGGTATGACTACTTTAGTGAGACGCATCAGATGTTCTTTTTCATTTCAGTTTATTTTTATAGTGACAATTCACAACACGTCATCTCAAGGCAGTTTACTATGGAGGATAAAAAGTGCCAAAATTAAATAAATAAATACAGCATTAAATAAATAATTAAATGTGTCAATAATTAATTAAATGTGGAATTAAATAAATAAATGTATCATTCATTAATTAAAACCACGTCACTAATATAAAGTGCCACAATTAAATAAATAAATACAGCGATAAACAATTAAATGTGTAATTCATTAAATAAATAAGGAATTAAATATATAAATGTGTCATTAAGTTAATAAAATACGTCTTCATTTTATTAAAAAAAAATATATATAATTATTTCAGTGTGCATTTAATTATTTCATGGTCCTGTGTCGCAGTGCATCGAAACCGTTAAAAGAATCTGTCAAACTCACCCATCAAAGTTAGGGGGCGGGGTTAACGCAAATCGAGTCTCTTTAATCGATTTGCTTTGCCTTAATGTGCAGGGTGACCAATCAGGTGTTAGATAACCGCCCCCTAACTGACCATGAAATAATTAAATGCACACTGAAATAATTATATATATTTTTTTATAAAATGAAGACGTATTTTATTAAATTAATGACATATTTATATATTTAATTTCTTATTTCTTTAATGAATTACACAATTAATTGTTTATCGCTGTATTTATTTATTTAATTGTGGCACTTTATATTAGTGACGTGGTTTTAATTAATGAATGACACATTTATTTATTTAATCCCACATTTAATTATTTATTTAATTCTGTATTTATTTATTTAATTTTGGCACTTTTTATCCTCCATAGTTTACAGTCCACCAGATTATACAGTCAAATCTATTCAAAGTTTTCTATCTAAGGAAAACCAGTTGATTGCATTCAAGTGATTAAATCTTTGCTGTGCTATTCCCACACTTGAAGGGTTGTATCAAGCTGAACATTTACTGGATTCCACTCAATGAACAAACTGTTGTTTCATCTTTTCCTTTTTTTTTTTTCTTCTTGTGTTGTTTACAGTTAATCATTAATTAAGCAGGTAAAAAAACCTTAAAAAGACCAAACCAAGCAAAACCTTTACCATATTGCACATTGTAAGAGTCAGTTCTGAGAAATGTATCATTAGATATATTTATGAAAATAGACTATGGTTTTACCTTTAAGTTAAGACTATTTAGTTTTTAATTATCATTAAAATGCATAAAAAAATTAAAGCATTTTAACAATGATTTATGCAGGTTATTGAACCCCATAGATTATATGAATTCCTTAACAGTAATAGTAAATAACTAGTCAGTGATTTTTAGCACGTTTTAAATATGCATAACACAACCTATGAAGTTTCATTTTAGTTGTGGAATACTCAAAGTCCGTTTTAATCACATGCAGGAAGAAAGATGTACAAATTACCCCGTGCAACAGTGTCACAAACACATAAAGTTGGACAGTTTAAATCACAACGTCAAACAAATGACTGAAAACAAGTAACGCCAGCATTTCCCCGACTAAATAAAGCAAGCTTGAAGTAGCCTTACAAGCCGACATTTTCACGATGCACCATGTGAGAGTTTACAAGCTTAACCACGCTACAGACACAAACATTTCCCACATGTCTCAATGCCTCATCAGGGCATTAAATGCAAGCTTACCGGCGAACTTTGCACACCTCTTTCTACTGCCCAAGTAGAACGGCAGACTTTTTATTTCATGCTGTGATCCTCCTGCTCAAACCCGGAAGTGTCTCACCTTATTTTGAGTGATTCATTGCACGCAGTGCTCACGCTCAAACAGCTGATGTAAGGGTGGCGTTCACCGCAACAATTGCATCGACTCATTAACTCAAATGCAATCCCTCACACTAAGCATGCTTGTAGCGACAGTGGAGAGGAAAAACTCCCTTTTAACAGGAAGTAACCTCCAGCAGTACCAGGCTTAGAGGATGAAGAGAGCACATCCAGTTAGTCACAGTCAGAGAAACAGGACTACACTGGAAAAACAGGCCGATCTCCAACATCTATAAACAAAGGTGTTGATGGCAGCAGCACAGCTGATATTTATCTCCAGGATGGAGTCACAGCCAGCAAGGAAAAGACGAGGCGAAGCTACTATGAGAAAAAGCAGAGAGAGCAGAACGTTAGAAATTAAACTAACAGATTCTGCAGAGTGAGAGAATAGAGATGGAATGATGAAATAGGGTCCCTATGTCCCTATGTGTATAAGCCTATAGCAGCATAACTATAGAGATAGCTAAGGATAAGCTGAGCCACTTTTTATTCCATTTGCTGTCTTTATGGAATTTATTGCCTGAAACAACTGATCAGATTAGAGCTCCAGGATTCCTGTAGACATTTGATTTGAGAGGAAATTAAATGGGTTTCCAGCTCGTGATTTTTCCAAATCCTCGCAGCCTCGATCAGAGCCACGTGAGCTCAGCGGTGATTCACCTTAAATCAAGATTAAAATGTCACAGCGAATGGCATGAAATGGAAGATTTAGCTGCTAAACCTGGGGTAGAATGTTTCTTTTTTTTTTATCAGTCCGAACACTTTAACCCCGTTCAGAGCAATTAAAGTGACTCACGGCGTTGTTCATGGAGCATATTGGCCTCTGCCTCTTAGGAGAGAAATCCCTCTATTGTCCAAAGCTTTCACTCTGCCTGCTGCCTCAGCTCCGAGTTCAGCATCGCTGCTTTTCCCTGATTGCTTTTAGACGATTTTTAGTTTTTTTGGTTAGGAGAAACATCTGGCCGTTTTTTCTAAGTGATCCAATTAACGATTAAATTGCTTAGAGCCAAGTTCTGGTTCCCCCTCCCTGAGTTAAAGCTAACATGTCGCCTTGCTGAGCTGGTGTTGGTGCAAGTCTGGAAAAACAACTCCTAGTGAAGAGTTTATGGTCAATGAATGTACTCCTCGCTTTTATAGTCAAGGCCTCCCTTAATCTAAAAGCCAATCTATCTGTAGTTTGTGAGATTTTCTATCCAGAAAATGCTGTTTGTGAGCTTCTTTATGTTGAACCTTTAGACTGAAGCGAAGCTCTTTCTCCTTCCTGCTTACAGACTCTGTTCCTTGAAGGGGGTGATTGCGGGGAGTCGCTTTCCTCTTCTCCTTCCAACACCTCTCTTCCTGTTTCCCCCCCTCCCCTGCACTGGCTTCTTCCTCCTTTTTCTCATCCCGTCTGGCTTTCATGGATGTGTCACTATTGCCTTTCATTATAAGTCCTTTCTGTTTACATTTTTTTTAACCTGTTTTAAAAGAAAAAAATGCTAATTTTGCTAAGAATTTAAAAACTCATTATGGTGCTTCTTGATTACAATCTATAATCAATATTTCTTAGCTTAAATTTATATTTTGTTTTCCATCTTTACCTAATGTTGTCATTGCAGCTTGTTTTTATTAGTTTTAATTATTCTTACCCTTTTTCATATTTAGTTTTGTCAGTTTTGTTTTGTAAATTTCAATTTATTGCTTTTAAAATAAAAGTAAAAGTAATTTAAATATGAAAGATGATATTAATTAATTTTGTTTTGAGCATGTAACTTTTAAAGTTGTCAAATCTTCCCTGGATGATTATTATTATTATTATTATTAATCTGAAAATGAGTTAAAACAGCCAGGGCTTAATACAGTCATTTTAGTTTCATTTTAAAGCCTTTTCTTTCTGCTTCATTTTCTTTATTTAGTTTTTCATTTTTCAGCATTTCTTGCAGCCCACTCACGCCAGTGGGAAGCATCTGTTTGGTGACCGTTTGTCTTGTTTACATGTTGAAAGTAGCTGAAGTTACAAAAGCAGCCACACAAAAAAACATTTATTTATTTTTTTTATCCAATAGATCGACGCAAAGTAACGTCATTGCAAAGTTGGGGGAAATAGTTCTTTATTTTCTCTTGCATGAAACCTGAAAAGTGCGGTGTTCATCTGTATTTGTCGCTCTTTTTCTCTAACGTCCAGTGAAACCAGTTGTCTTAAACTTCTGCAGCCTGTAGGGGGCGTTCCTTTAGCTGGAGATGGTATTTTGCTCCTTATAGCTTCCTGCTCACTCAGACCCACCATCCGTCCACAATTCATTAATTCAGTAAGAATTCTTAAGCCACAGTGGAAGCCTGTGGTTGCTATAAATGCTTCAGGATTAGTGCTGCTAGTGATGAAGGAGGTAGGACAAGGAAGTAGGATGCTTCCTAAAGATAGCCCCAGAGGTTTCGATCGACCATTAGGCCACATTTGTAACATTCATGACTAATGGTTCTCCTATCATGGTTAAAATCTCCTTGATAGTCTGTCACTTGAGGTGGAGTAGGAATCTTTTCGGGGGAGAAGCCTTTGGAAAAGTTAAATATGTCTGCTAGCATTGTGTCCACCTGCTTAGATGGAAACTAACAATAGGTAAATCTGGTACAATATCTATTTTGAGATTCATGTCCCTGAAAAACTAAATTATGTTTCATATTTTGATTGGTTAAAACAATAGGGTTTATTTTTTTTCCTTTTTTTTTTCTCCCACTATATTAAAGTTGTGCTTTGTGTTGGTTTATTATATAGAGTTCTAGTAAATGCAGTCAGCTTGTGTTTGTTTTGTTGAACAATCAGGAAAATAAAATCCAAAGTTTATCTAATAAAACAGAGGAAAAACAACATAAATGAGTGTATAAAATATTTGGATTGATTTGGAAAAACTTTGGCGAGGGTTTACTTGGAACCTTTTTATTTTTTTATGGTTTTTCTATAGCAGATCTCAACTGTTTTGTCCCCCTCCCATATTTCCTCTGGTCGAAAGAGTCCCTGAAAACCGTGGAGGAGCTGAGAGAGACGGAAAATTCCCAGCCGCACTCATCCATGGCCTCTTCAAGCCCATCGCTGGCTCGTCTCCAGGAAATACCCGACTCCTATCGGCCTTCGTTTCGAGGCAAAGACCTATCAGACGCCCGCTCTGCTCTCGCTAAAGTCCTCACATCTTCGGTTTCCAAAGGGACGCTGGTGAGGCGCCTGAGAAACTCTGCCGGTTTCCCAAATTTCCATGTCTCCTCGTGTATGTCTGCGGCTTCAAAGTGTCCAGATGACGGCGATTTCTGCGCAGAGCGGGAATCGGTTTTCAGATCCAACCTCCCGACTGAGAACGAGTGGGAGGACCAAGTACAGAGGAGCGGACTGACCACCTTTAAAGTTGTTCCCCCAAAGAAACCAGCATCCTGTGATCCCGAAATGATGGATCAGGATCAGAAATCAGTTCTTCCTGAGGGGAAGGAAGATCCACATTCCTCTAGCACATTTGAGAGCAGAACAGGGATTAACTGCTCAGAAACGTATGCTAACGAAGTGGTTGACAGCTCAATTTCTGGCTCACCTTTAGAGGAAACTCAGAACTGTTCTGACTCACCCTTGCTTGATGACGGGGAGAATCATGAAGACCAGAACCAAGAGGAAGAACCAGAGGTCCCACTGGATGGAGTCCTGCCTGCGCTACTGGACGGTTGTGATAAGGAAGCGACCAACCATGATGGTGGTCATTCAGAACATCTGAGTGAGTTTGATCCAAGTCCTGACATGGTTCCGTTGAATTCGAGTACTGATGGAAAATCTAAGGAGGATTTTTCACGTGAGGAAGCAGGAGGGGAGGAAGCTGCCTTCCCCTCTCCTCCTCCACCGGTCGAGTTTAGTGACAACATGGGAACTGGAGAAGAAGAAGCTTCATTTCCATCATGTGGAACCGCCGCTCCCAGCATGAATGGGCATAGGAATGCATCCGGCGAGGCTGACGACAGTGGCTCTTCCTCAGATGCTACTGAGCCGCCTGCGGGCCAGACGAAGGTGGCCCCGTCTAGATTTGCACAGGCGGTTGCCATGGCCGTGCAGAGATCCCGCCTACAGAGACTAGGCCTTGGAATCGGCTTCGGACCCCAACTCTCCGGACGCCCAAACGTTTCTGTTCCATCGCCTCCAAGGTCTTCATATCAGTATGGTAAGTTCCAAGCTGTCAGTGCCTTGCAAAATTATTCTAAAAAAAATCTTTTTCATTCATTCAAATGCTATAAATAAAATGCAGCTTTGCACATAGTTTTTACCATCTTTGCAGGTCTAGAAATAAACATTTTAAACCAGTTTTTCTTTGCTTAATATATTAGTAATTGGGATCATCTGTAGGGCTGCAACTAACGATTATTTTGAAAATCGATGAATCGGCCGATTATTTTTTCGATTAATCGATGAATCGGACACAAAATATATTTTTTATATTAACCTCTTTATTCCAAAATAAACATTTTAGACAGAACAAACAAGCACACAAGTACAGGTTTCTCATTAACTGTACTGGTGCTATATGAAAAATAAATGTTTGTTTTAAAACTACGCAAACTTACATGAGAAATGTAGCTGTACATCCGCAAAATATAGGGTAGTTTGTTTCATAAAGCGCAAAAAGAGACAGGCATTTTTGTTTTTTAAAGCCCCTAAGGGGTTCAAACAATAGGTCCCCCCATTTCAACAAATGAGGTTTTTTTAGACTAGAAGAGTTCTGCCTTTTAAGACAGGAAAGTATAGCAGTTAAAGTTGCTACTTGAGAAAATACTGAACCATAGAGATAAAAATAGCCCTGTGATTCAAATTATAAATTGTATTTGGAATAAAAATGAGAGAACTAGGGGTGCTAAAAAACACATCCTCCAAAGACAGATATTTACATGGGAATGTGGCAGATAATTAATTGACATATTACTGATCTTGCTGGATTTTATTCTGCTTTACTTCCATAAATTGCAGGATCTTCTTTACTTTATCTTTGCCAGAAGATTTAAACTTTAAAAGCCTTGCCCTCATAATTTGCAAATTAATTTATTTATAAAGAAAATATAAACGCTGCTTAAGCTAATTCAAATGAAATTAAAAGTAAAATAAGTAGCCAACCTTATCACTGTCTGTAACCTACTAACACGGTAAGGAAAGCATCAGATGAGCTACCTGAGAAACTAACTTACGTTTCCCCACTTTAAAACCAAACAAACATGGTCGCTCACCCTGCTGATCAGCTCTCTTCACTGCCATCGAAGGCTCCAACGTGTTTTCTTTTCAGGTGCTGCGTCATAACAGTGGTGCTTCCGTGCCATGTTCATTTGTTTTTACAAAAGTTGCATGTTACGACTTTTTTCACTTTACAAAGCGCAGGCTATTTTCATTATTGTGATCAATTTGCGCCGTCAATCCCGGGGCATGCGCGCTACATTTGCAGTCTGGACGCTGAGGGTAAACTCCTCACTAAAATCCTTCGGCTCTGACTGCAGCGCTGAGAGGGATTCCTGTGGGAGAGGGAGAAAGGCGTTGGGATGGGGGAGGCGCCCCACGGCAGCAGCTGCCGCTGGAGGACAAGAGTAGGAACGATACATGCTTTCACGTAAGAGTCTCCAAAAGCCGCCAGTGACACCGTAAAAAGTCGCCAGATTTGTCGCTAGTCGCTTTTTAAAAAAATAGTCGCTGGAGGGGTCTGAAAAGTCGCTGAGTTGGCAACACTGCAACTACGGCGCTGACTCGCTCCGCCATATTTTTTTTTCTTCCCCGGGATGACGGCGACGGCGGATGACGCATTAATCGCGCCACACAACTAATCGATGATTAAATTCGTTGCCAACGCTTTTAAAAGTCGATTTTTATCGATTCGTTGTTGCAGCCCTAATCATCTGTCTACATTATTCCCATCATCATTGCTCCAGGTTCCCTGTTCCTGCCGTACAGTATCTAGTTTCCCCACAGCATGATTCTGCCACCGCCATACTTTACTGTGAGGATAGTGTGATAAGCATTTAAATGCGAGCAAAGTTGGTCCTCGAGGTCTGCTCGCCTGCAGGTTCTAGAGCAGGGGTGGGCAATTCCAGTTCCTGAGGGCCGGTATCCTGAAGGTTTTACATCCTTCCTTTATCAAACACACCTGAAGCAAATAGCTGAGTTACCTCCTCAGTATGCAGTCAGTTTCTCACAAGTCCTCTCAATCAACTAATTACTTGATTCAGGTGTGTTGAACCAAAGGCACATCTAAAAGTTGAAGGATACCGGCCCCCAGGAACTGGAATTGCCCACCCTTGTTCTAGAGGTTTCCCTCCTGCAACACAGTTGGTTTTCATTGATTGCTGACCAACAGGCTCCTGCGGAGCTAAAATAATCAGAATCATCAGAATCGGCTGTGCTAAGGCAGGGAAACCTCTAAAATGTGCAGCACAGCGGCCTCTAGGACCGACTTTGGGCATGACTGATCTAACCAGTACACTTTCTTACTCCTAATACACTATATTGCCAAAAGTATTTGCTCACCCATCCAAATTATTGGAGTCAGGTGTTCCAATCACTTCCATGGCCACAGGTGTATAAATTCAAGCACCTAGGCATGCAGACTGTTTTTACAAACATTTGTGAAAGAATGGGTCGCTCTCAGGAGCTCAGTGAATTCCAGCGTGGAACTGTGATAGGATGCCACCTGTGCAACAAATCCAGTCGTGAAATTTCCTCGCTCCTAAATATTCCACAGTCAACTGTCAGCTGTATTATAAGAAAATGGAAGTGTTTGGGAACGACAGCAACTCAGCCACGAAGTGGTAGGCCACGTAAACTGACGGAGCGGGGTCAGCGGATGCTGACGCGCATAGTGCGAAGAGGTCGCCAACTTTCTGCAGAGTCAATCACTACAGACCTCCAAACTTCATGTAGCTCAAGAACAGTGCGCAGAGAGCTTCATGGAATGGGTTTCCATGGGCGAGCAGCTGCATCCAAGCCATACATCACCAAGTGCAATGCAAAGCGTCGGATGCGGTGGTGTAAAGCACGCCGCCACTGGACTCTAGAGCAGTGGAGACGCGTTCTCTGGAGTGACGAATCGCGCTTCTCCATCTGGCAATCTGATGGACGGGTCTGGGTTTGGCGGTTGCCAGGAGAACGGTACTTGTCTGACTGCATTGTGCCAAGTGTAAAGTTTGGTGGAGGGGGGATTATGGTGTGGGGTTGTTTTTCAGGAGCTGGGCTTGGCCCCTTAGTTCCAGTGAAAGGAACTCTGAATGCTTCAGCATACCAAGACATTTTGGACAATTCCATGCTCCCAACTTTGTGGGAACAGTTTGGAGCTGGCCCCTTCCTCTTCCAACATGACTGTGCACCAGTGCACAAAGCAAGGTCCATAAAGACATGGATGACAGAGTCTGGTGTGGATGAACTTGACTGGCCTGCACAGAGTCCTGACCTCAACCCGATAGAACACCTTTGGGATGAATTAGAGCGGAGACTGAGAGCCAGGCCTTCTCGTCCAACATCAGTGTGCGACCTCACAAATGCGCTTCTGGAAGAATGGTCAAAAATTCCCATAAACACACTCCTAAACCTTGTGGACAGCCTTCCCAGAAGAGTTGAAGCTGTTCTAGCTGCAAAGGGTGGACCGACGTCATATTGAACCCTATGGATTAGGAACGGGATGTCACTTAAGCTCATATGTGAGTCAAGGCAGGTGAGCAAATACTTTTGGCAATATAGTGTAGTTCTGACAGCAAATCTCACCTTAGCTGTGCTTTGATTCGTCCTGTTAGTTTAGCCGGACTCCGTCTTGGTCATTAACAAACCTTTAAGGCCTTTCTGGAAAAGCTGCTTTACAAACTTCAGTATCTAAATATCCGTCCCTTTCCAACCAGATAATACTCTGCTTTGCATTAGTTACGAAGTTAGTTAAAATCCTAGTTGAACAAACTGAATTAGTGATGCTTACTTAACAAAGTGTGGAAAAGATCACCATGAATTGATGCTCTTCATCATCTAATGGGTTTTCGTTTTTGTTCCACAGGTGCCTGATCTGCGCCTGCATGTCGTCCTAAGAGGTTGAACCTTCAGGACCCCCTAAGGACACCAGCCTGTTTGACCTGACCTAGCTCCTTTAGCTTTGACAGCTTAGTTTTCCTTCATTTGTGTTTTTTATTTTCTGGTTTTTACTTTTTATATGTTTGAACGGAAAAACTGCTGTGGAGCTCGCCAAATGTACAGATATGAGTGACTGAGCTTGGAGTATATTTTTAGTTTACTTCATAAATTATTTTAAGAGTGCCAAAATGCATACTAAGCTGATATGACATCTTTTCTTTCTGTTTTTTTTTTTTTTTTTTTTGTATATAACCCCAATGGATAATTTCTACGTCTTATATGAATTATTGTAGAGTAGTTTGGTTTTCAGCCAGCAGGTGGCAGAAGAGTTTTTGTTTTGAAAAATAAAACCCTGGCTGCTTTTATTTGGAAAAAACATTTTCAAATTATCGTTCCAGCTGGATGTATTTTTTTTGTTTAAAGGTGACGCATTCGTTGCATAAAAAAAAAAAAAATTCTAAATGAAATTCTAGATTTGGGCGAGGCATTCAATATTTTTTTTGTTTTGGGACATGCCTAGAATAATAAAAAATCTTTCTTCATTATTGCTTTTGATAATAAACAAATTGAAGGGGGGGGTGAATCAACTTTCCTGTTTGAAGCATCGGTTTTATGCCAAGCATTTCATCGCTCCTGTGAGTAAACTCAGTCCACTTTGCTCACATGCACTCACTGTTGTCTTCAGCGGACCCATCCATACCTTGGGGCAATACTGCACAGCTATACTTGGGTGCCAAAAGAATCCGCTCTGCTGTAAGTATTGATCCAGCCGTGGCCTTGGAGGAACAGCAGGGAGCTGTTTGAGCTGGAGACCCAGCCAGGACCGCCTGTGGCTAAAGCTCCCAGTTTGCCAGGCCTGGACTGAGTGGGCTTGCTTCAAGACTCCCTCTTTCTCTCTCTGCTCTATCTGAAGGCAAAGAGAGGGAGAGGAGGGCAAGTTGCTGGAGGATGATGGGGGGGGGGGTGACCGTTGACCCTGTCGTGTTTCTGCAGTGCTCTCCCTCCAGAGGAGGCGCATGGCCCTCAAGGGCAGAGTTGTGTTGCACTGCCATTGTCATGAAGAATGCCATCAAAGCCCCTGAGGGAGGGACCCACACTCAACATTTTAGCTTGGATATGTTAGTAAAAATATACAGAACAGGGCCTCTGAAGCCTCTTTATTCATGCATTCGGTCTAAAGGCGTATAAAGTTTTAGGTAAGTAGCTTTTAGACTGCAGAAAAGTTGCTTCTGCCAAACCCGAACTATGACGTCCAGCATAAGTGACAACTTTGACATTATCGTTTGATGTATGAAAAGGTTGAATCCCAACAAGAGCACTTATGCTCAAATTTTACAGACAAAAAAAGAAGCTGTATCTTCAGTGCAGGAAAAGACGAAATGCTACCGTGTCATGGTGAATTATTTTACAGTGTGATGTGACGGTGTTATTGGATGAGCAGCAGTAGGAACGTGGAGCAAATGAGAAGCACTGGTGGGTAAATACTGAGGTATGAGATGGCTTAAAAGATATGCCATCAAAAAATGTTCAGCTTATAGTTCTGATGGGTAAAAGATTATATTGAATCAAGTGCAAAAGCTTCCCCTTGCTGCTGCACACTGCTGCCCAGCTACCTGAAAGAGGCTGACAGTTTTCTTGAATTTACAAAAAAATATGGTTTATAGATAATTCTGGTTGTAAAATGTAAAGGAAGCTAAGCAGTAGCATTCATAACTTTTTATAGTAATGCTGCTGGTAGCTCATTAAAGCGGCTAAATGCTAGCTAAAGGCTGCTTGTTTGCAGAAAAAACAAACCGATTTATTACACAATAAGCTCTTCAACTGCTACCAAACGTATTTTGTTAATGAAAATTTCCAAATACAGTTGTGAATGTTTAAAGGTATATTGGAGGATGTTCTTTTTCCGGGTGGATCATCAAAATAAGTGGTCCTCCTGATTTTCAATCATTCTGGTGATATGTTTACGTAAGGCCGTCCTACGTGCTCGTCCCCATTTTCACTTACCGGTGGTGAGTCTGACATGGTGAAAAGAATGCAAATCTTCTTCTGGAAAGTAAGCTTATATGAGTGATTCAACCAGAACTTGTTGGAAAGCTTAACAGCAACTTCTTAAACGGATTCAGATAAAAAAAAATTGGTAAGCTGCTTCTATGCTGCAGTATGAATATATATATCTTTTGCTAACTTTTATCTACAATCATATCTGTTTTTATAAACTAATATTTAATAAGTAGAAGATAGGAGGCTCTTGAAGGCAAGTTACTACTAATTAAAAGTACTTTAAAGACATAAAAGGCTCTTCAACACTGGGGCAGTTTCCCCCACATGCCCCCCTGTAGATCCGTCCCTTGTAGCAGGGAAGTCTGATCTATCCATCTGGTTATATTGATATTAACTCACTTTCCCTAGTAGCTTTGTTGGAATGTGGATGACATATATAGACTTTTATCAAATATGTACAAGAGGACACATTGTAGTACTCCACAGTTTAAGCTGGGGGGGGCATGTAGATGTTAGACTTAGACAAACTTTATTGTCATTTTGCATGCACAGTGTGTACAAAACGAAATTCTGTTGCATACAGCTTACAACGGTGAAATTATATTGCAGATATCATGTGTAACAATGTAGGAGAAAAGTTTAAAAACAATGCTGCAAAAGGGTATTAATATGAAAAGGTTCAGTGCAATGCAAAGTAAGTACGGTGCAAAATGCAGCAGAACATTGATTTTAAAAGTTCATCCACCTTAATAGTGCAAAATAATGTTGCAGGTGGCTCCAGTTTAGAGCTTTAAGGAGCCTGACAGCTTTAGAAAGCTGGTGCAAACAGCTGATGTCAGAGATTCTGGATTAATATCTGGACAGACAATTATAAAATGCTTTTTATCATAGCAACTATGAAGCACTGAGGAGAAATTGTCATGGTTTGGGTGGAGACGCTTTGCTGCATCTGGCCAGCTCACCATGCATCCGAGGTGCTTTAAGAGACTGAACCAATCTATGCAAACAATTTATCAGCAATATTATAAGGTAGTTGCATTTATTTGACTTTTAATGTTCCGAGAATTAGTCAAAAACACTTTGAGGAAAGTGATTGATGGTTCACTCTTTAAGACCTACAAGTTTTCTGGTATTCCTCTGGCAAACCTGAACTGGGATACCTGTTCTCTCTTTTAATAAAAGACTGAAATAGAACTAATTTAATAGTTTTTATTTTGGTTTTATTTCTTTTTCTTTTATAAATTATCCAAACTTTACTTTTGCCTTGTCACTGAAATGTTCCCAAACAGTTCTGGATTAAAAGGTTTCAAAGTCCTGCACTCAGAAATGTGTTTTAACCTGAAAATCAATGACTAGAAAACTTAATAAACTTTGTCCAGATTTGATAAGATTTTATGCTGTTGAAGTTTAGAGGTTATTTTATTTTAGTAATAAAGTCTGACTTGGCTTACACTCTGCATCGTGAGTACTCTCCAAAAACTCAAACCTAAATCAATACCATAATAGCTGGCCCACATAAGTGGAGGTAATGCACATTTAGCATTTATTTATTCCTTCATCTTTTCATTCATCTCTATTTAGTTCTCCATCTGATGTATCTGGCTTGTGGTTAGAGAATGCCCACGAGCTGCGAGGAGTCGGAATCTGATTATAAAACAGTAACTAGGCCCGAGGCCAGCTTCACTGGATCCAGCATGTCTGATGTGTATAAGGGGCGCACATGTGCAATCGCAGACTGCTAATATATGTGTGTTTACATGGCACCTCCATGCCTGGGTAGAAATAATCAATAGATGAATCACCCAAAGCAGCGCAGCTCTCCCCAGGCAGAGCGGTGCAGCTTAATGCTATTCTTTTCATTCACCTTGGGAGCCGTATCCATCAGGCCTCCCCCCAAATTGAGGCGCTGTTGCCTAAAACATCACCAGCGCTTGAGGGGCTGCTTGGAAAGTGATGCAGGGAGAGCACAGTTGACCTCTCACCTCCTCCATGTTTTCGCTTGCTTCACTCCTCTTTGGCGAAGCGGCAAATCACAGAGTTCCAGCCTCATTGGCATTGTCAGGCGCTTACAGTAGTGTTTCTCTGTATTGTGCTGCTGGTTAACTGGTTCAAATGTTATGGAAATGATATTTACCTCCTCTCTGATCCTGTAAACTCCAAACAGGCAGGGTTTTTTTGTTTTTTTCCCCCCAGTCGAGGGGGGAAAGTGCTTTAAGGATATGTGTACAAAAAGAACACAAGCAGGGAAAAAATAGAGAGATGCAATATCTGCAATATCTGCAGAGCCTTGCAAAAGTCACAATTCCCGAATTTTGTCTTATTTAAACCATAATCTTCAATTAATTTAATTTGTTTTATGGGACAGGACAGCAAAATTAAGTGCATGATGCAATCTAAAGGATAATATTTTCTTTTACAAATTGAATATCTAATATATGGCAAGCATTTAAACCCTTAATAGAAACCCAGTGTATAATTACAGCTTATATTCATGCATCAGGCAATGTAAAGGGAGGAGAGATTGCAACCTGCAGAATTAACTTTTTATAGTTTTTTAATCTTGTACACTAACACGCATTATTTCCACTCTTTAACCTTTCTGCAACTGGATTTTTTTGTAAATAACCAAATAAGTAAATTTAACATTTTATTTATTTATTTTTATTATTAATAATAGAGTATGTTACACAATGTTTAAAGGAATATTGTTTCTAGTATTTTGCAACAATAATACTCTTTGATTATTTAGAATTTTTGATTTAAGTGAAAGGGTTTTACTCTGTTACATTCAATAAAATTTTAGAAAGAAATATACTTTTAGGAGTAGATGTATTTTACTATATTTTCTGACTTTTATTTCAGTAGTATTGTTATGAAAGTATCCCTACTTTTACTTGAGTAAAATTTCAAGGAACTCTACCGACCAGGAGTAACCTAAGCTATTTCAGATCTAGTAAATATGCAGGAAAAAAGATTTCTTGACCTTTTCCTAGCATAAATTCCTTACATATTTTAAATTCAATAAAAAAAATTCCTATCCAAAATGGGAATTTAGATTTTTTTATTTAAGTTTATGTAAAAAAAAATTTAAAAAGTGTTAGAATGGTGTTTCTTCTTCCTACATTTGGTATTTTATATTTTAATTTTTACTTGTATTTTATGTTATACTTTGAAATATTACAATTTGCACATAACTGTCTATTGCCTTATCTTTAAACATTAAATCCGATGTTATGAGCCAACAAGCTCTCAGTAACCATTTCAAGTATTTTTTTACTTTTACCTTAGTAATTGTTGAAATGACTACTTCCTACTTCTACTTGAGTAAGCAAATTAAAGTGGTGCTGCTTTCATTTCATTTTTTTGCGTACTCTACCCACCTCTGATTTTACGTTATATATATATATTTTTTGGTTACATTATCCAGCTCCAGTCATTAGCAAAAGGAAAGTTACTTTTTAACCCACTATTGTAATGAACATGCAATTTACACACGGAAGCAAGGTAGTGAGAGTATCATGCTGAGGGGACACAAAGAAACCCAGCCCTAAAACCCTC